GGCAGTGCAGAGATCCATGAGGTATAAGAGAAGGAAAATACTTGAAATGGTCGAGGGACGCCTGTCGTGATTTGCAGCCCTGCCCGGGATCGGGATGTCGTTCTTAGACCCATACCAGCGTCGTTCCTGATACAAGCCAAACCTCACAAAACTTGTGTGGTCGAGACCTGGAAAGTACGCTTTGCCGGAAAGGCTTGGCTTTGCATGGGTAGGTGAAGTGGGGAGGGGGGGGAGGGAGGTGTGGTGGGAAGGACAGATGAGCTGTGCGAATAGTAGCTGAAGTTAATATCCAAGTGGGTTAGTAGTATTTAGCAATATGAATGAGCACAATTGCACTTGGTTGCACTATCGAAGTTGCGAGGCTGCTGGTTGGGTCTAGGGACTGGTCCACTGCCGCTGACCCATCATGGAACGACATTATTCGATATTCGATATGTATGTCTGTATGTGTTCATCCAGCAAGAGAGTTTAGAGGGCACTACAGGTAGAGGGAGGTGGCTTATCTTGTCTCATCCGACGCCACTACACTTCAGAGGTGCAGTATCTGGGGTAAGGCAGGTAGGCTGCGTGAGTATATAACGATACCGTGGGTACCACATAAGGAAAGTTTTTTCCCTGGAGGTTGGTGAGAATTAAGCTATCATGACGATGGCGACGGCGGTGACTCTGGTGGTTGTACCACGGTGGTATTGCACAACTGGATATTGACCTGTTTCCAATTATTTTCATGAGCCCACGGACTATCCCAACGGGGTGCTATGGGGATGAATTTGTAACGTCTGGAGTACCTAATTGAGGTTTGTCCAAAAAAGTCCGAGGTCAACGGACAACCAATGATGCCCAAAGATGGCGTCGAACGAGTGAGTTAATCAATCCTGTCTGGTGTAATTAGTAAGTTTGTGAGTGGTGAATGGCAAAGATGGAAAGTTTGGGGTCTCTTTTCTTCACTGGTGATGAGCAGATGGTACCATGAGTAGATTAGTCGGACGGGTAAGGATAGATTAGAAACTAGGTTTATGTTTGAGGATCATTTTCACACGGAAACAGGGGTACTCCACGATTTTAGCTGTACAACAAAGCATATCAGCCCTAATATGATATAATAGAGCGTGTATATTATACAACAGATTATACGAATAAGAAATGCCAAGTGCTAAAACCTACATGTCTACCTTATTTTCGCTACGTATAAGGAAGAACCTTTCGGAAGGATTGGGGATCCTCGTTTGGTTGACGTGTAGTAAAAGTAAAGTATATTGATCAGAGAGAAGGGGGGGAGGGGAGAGAGGTCTGGAAGTACAGAGGAGATAGGTAATGCCTCACATGTACCGTATGTTGTATACTAATAAGTATCTTGGCTGGCTAAAGTGGCACAGAAGTGATAAATCGAACAAAACAAGTTGCTAATTAGCCAATACTCCATCACCAATAACTAATCATTATTTATGTATCATTTATTCAATAACGGCTTTTCAATCATTTCCACACCTGAAAATCGGACCAGTATATCTATCTATTTTAAGCTAGACGCACAGTACCGAACGTACCCCTTCATCAATGTGAATAGACGATTGATTGATGGCTGACAGGAGTAAGAAGTAAGAAGATATAAAAATAATTACTGTCATTTTTGGCAATCACGAAAATTAATCCTCTTTCCCAATAATCACTGTATCTAGCCATCCATCGCACCCTTCCTTTTCTCGTACTTTGTTACTTTCATCGTCTCTCAATACTCTCTTATGACATAGACGAAGTAAGAGATTGTAAGAGAACCGAGGATTTTGATTTGAAATAGTTTCAAATTCTTCAAACGATGAAGCTTTAGACCTGATGAATCTTGCTTGCTCTTTGTCATTGTTTGCACTTCACCGTTCCCAAATTTGAACACCACCAGAATCTAACTCGCACTCTCAATTTCTTAAACTCACTTCAGAAGTCCTCATCTTGGCAAGTTTCCATCATCCTATTATAATAATCCATGTATCGTGCAGCCTCGGTAGTGTTTGAGACAAGCATCATGAAACTCTCTACAGGGGAAGACCCAAGTGAGAGAGGTAAGAGATTGGAACCAATTAACTTGATGAAGTAGAACGTCCCGAAAGAACCGACTGTCAGTCTGAGGGTAAAAAGGCTAAATCTTTCATACAAACTAACTACGAGGTAAATACCTTAGATGAAGGGGAAACATATCATCACATTCTCAAATGTGGTATGTCCTTAGTTTGTAACAAATTGCTGACTTGCCCTTTTCTTCCTAGCTATTCTCTGTCATTCATTGAAACCAATTTGATCAACTAGCTGGGCAGCTCACCAGCTGAGGAGGTAGAAGCTCGCTCTTTCCCTCTTTCAATATCAAATCTAGATGCCAATTGATGCCGAGACACCTTGATACCTGTCACATAACAGTCTATTAGTCGGCGACCGTATATCCTCTTTTTCATCTCTCACTGTACTGTCAACCAGGATTCCGATGATCGATTAAATGTCCGATTCGTCATACCTCACATACTATGTGGCTTGCCTCAGCAGCTCCTCTCATCCCGGCCCATCGATCACCACTAACAGCACAGGCACGGATATACAATTCCGTATGCCAATTCGGCTGGCCTCGTCGTTCGTGACGGGCATATTAATATATTTCCTGGCATGCGATCACTGACGATTGACCGTATCCTAATGTTTAAATTGTACTACGCCATGAGCAGTAAGACTCGAGAATAACAAGAATGGACAACACAGCGAGACTAATCAGTGGGTAGGTATTAGTGTTGGGCGATTTGTAATTATGTAAAGTATAATCACCGTCAGCTCATTACAATATATAATAATGATCAAATCAATTATAGCCCTTAATATAAAATGGGGATTTGGAAGGGATTTGAAAGGAATTTGGAAGAGTTTTGAAGGTTTGATAATTCAAAAAGGTCATAAATCACATGAATATCACATGAATATCACGTGTTATAATCTTGACATAATGATTTATATCGATCAAATAGTTAAGTTCCCATTATATTACACAATTATATAATAGTCCCCCAAATTATATATTTCGCCCAACACTAGTAGGTATATCCCATTCACTGCTGCAATTAGCCTCCATCTACCACGCTCAAATGCACTTTCCCCAAAACGGCAAAGTTATCGAAACCTGTCAAGAGGGATTTCTAGCGTAAACGTATATCGGCCATCATGATACTGTCCACTTCGCACCATACATCACTGCGTAGATACGAGGCAACTAATCAGATAGTCTTTCAGTTCGGGTCAAGTCAGGTGCCCATTTTGAGGTAATCAAACTCACACGCACTTTTCCAAAATGAGATAAACGGCTACTCTTCATCTAACAACCTTCTCATCCATTTTCACATCCTAAGTGTCTAAAACAACATGCCTCAATCTAACCTTTACGAAAGCACCGTAGTTTTTCCAAACAATCTCCCGCTATGACCCCTTTCTCAATTCATCCGACTTTGTCTAATCCACCCAGTGCCTGTTTCGGGACTCAGCTGTTTCGTAGGGCAGGGTAGGGCAGGTCACTAGTAGCTCTAGCCTTTTCTACTCGACTACTGTATCATCCCGTGCACCGCTTACCCACCTTATCATTCTAGAATTTCTCTAATATCCTTCTAGTAGATAATTCTTTCGCACTAAATTTCAACTCATGCGACGTGAAGGAAGGCTATGATGTATCTATTCCAAACGGTCATTGCGATTCTGTCATCCCGTCTCTCCGGCTAAGAGACGTTAATATTGCTATATCCCAAAATGTCATGTGCAAATCTACTTCGAACGCTATCAGACGACAACATATCAATCTTTCTCAAACCGCCAAACGACATCACTTCCCAGAGGCAAGACGAACATCATCCCATGTCTTCACAGCCACACCGCTCCTACATTATTCCTTCCCTTTGTAGCTTCCATGCGGGGGGGGAACTCCGATTCCTATACCCTTCTCACACCCATTATCCACCTTTCTTCCCTTTCGAGCACACAAGCCCAAGCATTCATTACATTTCAATTTCCACAGTCATCCCGATCGGTACGCAAAATTCATGCAGATATACTCGACTCGGGCGTTTATCTGATATTTTCTCTCCACTGTGGATTACGTTGTCACCCCTATCAATATAACACATCTAATATGAAGATCAACCCGCCCTACCCACTCACCCATGCCCCTCCCCTGCTTGACCTCCCCCTTGCTCACAAGGGGGGGGGGGGGGGGGGGGGGAATGTATCGATGACGCTGGGTATGCGCGTATTCTCCTCTCCCTCTTCTCGAATTACGGGGGTGTCAAACTCTCAATTGATTCATCACCAGCCAAATTCTCATCTACAACAAGTCAAGCTTCCAGATACCAAGTCTTCGGACACCGACTTTCCCCCTTTTCTCCCATTGTTTGTAAAACATTCCGTCAGCACTTCTCCGTTCTAGGATCGCATACCCTCGTACTCCTTGTGCAGATCCTCCAAGCCTCGAAGGCTATGATGACTGGAGCTATGTTATGTGCCGTGACGAAACTCTACGGCGTACACAGCTATACTTGTGTTCGTACAATACTACCCTTCCTCTTACTCAAGCCCAGTAATGATGGATACAGGTATGCCTCAAGTGTTAGGGGTTCTGCTTCTATTCTTATCAGTGTCAATAATCTTGCTTATCTGCATTTGTATAGAGGTTGATACTCGTTGCATCTACCCACGGTACCGTAGGTCAATTCATTTGAAGTGGCTTACGCACTGGCTCATACCAGACAATAGGCTCCCTTAAAGTGTTCTTTAAAAAAAAAAGTATTATTCCCTTTATAAAAGTACTTTGTCCGGATATCCTTTGTAGCTGTAAATTTATCCGTCTACTGCTACCTAATCATACACAATCGTACACCATCTAATCGAATCTTCACGTCTCGTAGCGTAATGTATCGTAACATCATATCTATCGCAGACCCCATGATCCCTCTCCACCAAACCCCTAGCAACCCTTGTAAACTCTACTCTCCATTGATCCTCCTCCAAACCTCCTTTTCCCCCTCACTCAACTTACTCCCGGCACTCCCAGCCCATCTCTTTGCACTCTCCCAGATCCCCTCCTCTTCACCTGCACTTGCATTTTCTCTCCTCTCATTCACATCCATTGCTCTCCTCTGATCACTGCTCAGTTCAGCCGCATATGCATTCTGCACGTATCCTGGTGGATGCTCCAGGTATTCCACACTGCGTCGCTGTCCATATCCCTGGTTTTCCTGCTGTGTACGACGAGCATACGCATCGCCAACAGAAACCGGTTGAGGATGCATTGTCCCATATGAACCCGATGCCTGAGCTGCCGTATTCGCATCCATCGTCATCGTCGTCGAAAACGGTGCGCTGGTGACGCTTGGCGGCGGAATCATCATCTGAGGGGGGTATTCTGTATGATTCTCCATCGTCCCAACTTGCCCCGCGCTTGGATTTGGTGGCATTGAAGGAGTCGCGTTGTGATTGGCAGCATATGAAGACCCCGCTCTCGGAGGCGGAGGCACAGATTTAGTTTGCGATGTGAACGTATTTCCCGCGAACCCAGTAGTCGGCTTGGGAAAAGCACCTGGTTGGGGTGCAGGTGGTACGTCGAAATCTTCTTCTATCGTGCGCGTTGGCTCTGGTTTGGCCGTCGTAACTGCAGCTGCGGGGGGAGGGGCGTAACGTTGCGAGTTTGCAAGCCCGGTAGGAATGGGTACGGCAGCTGCGGGTTGCGCTCGTGGATACGAAGAGAATGATGAGGATGTTGTGGTGGGGTTGCTGTTGCTCAGAGGTTCTGATGATGATGCAGGCGCGGCCGTTTCAGAGGATGTTGAAGGCCCGGTGGGAGGGACAGGAACACCCGATCGTGCATTTAGTGGTGCATTGTTATATCGCGGTATGCCCGACATTTCTTGCAAATCGAATGTGCTTCTGAGATACAAGAAGATATCTATCAGGTTCCTGAATGACACGCGGCTGTTATTCTTGGGATATATTTCTGTAGGATCGGAAGTGTTGATGTAGAATGTAGATGAGAGGTAAAAGAAAACTAGTTATTGGTAGGTGAGTAGTTGTTTGTTCTTTAGATTAGGTCCAATTGGTATTCTCGCATCGGAAATATGTAAGTTTGACAGGTTGGTTTGACAAAGTAGTTTTAGGTTCCCAGATGTTGTACCTTTGCTTTGGTGCGCCCAGGTAGGTGCCTAGTAGGCTGTACGTTGTGCTTTGGAACGAGAGATGGGTTGTACCGGTATTGTTTTCCCACCTGTCAATGATTTATTCCGACAAGTGTTTAGGATTAATCAAGGTACGAAAGAATAAGACTTTGAATTGTCACCGTCGCTTTGATTAGTAGATAGAGAGGTAATATTGAAAGTAGATGTTCTTGTAATAAATTAAGAATGTCGTATGTTGTGCTTTGATGACGTTCGTTCTTAGAGTGGAGGAGATAAACTGGGGAAGATCTACAGGTAAGGTTACTGATGAGTAAGCTACCTAGTTGGGTAAGAATGATGATTTTACTTATTATTTGCTCCAATTGGGGAACATGAATGAAAAAATCGGTCCCTTTGTCAATTTATTTTCTTTATACTGCTTGAGGAGGTACTCTACATATAGCAATCATACTTCATACACCGAGCCTTATCATTCTTCGATTCTCGAGTCCCATGACCCAGATATCTCGAGTATCGAGTGTCAAGTGTCAAGCACAAATGATAAAGATTACTGTCTAGATATATAGATAGATAGTCATGCCTCTTTACCCAAGGCGAATATCCATTCATATATATATCTATTCATTCATACATATATATATATACATATATACATACATACATATATATATACATACATATATACATACATATACATACATACATACATACATACATACATACATACATACATACATACATACATACATACATACATACCTATATACATACTCTCCACCTTATACAAACATCCATTCCCTTCTCATCCTATCAAACCCCACGCTCTATTTCTCTTCACACCTCCCACACATCCCGAATTAATTCCAGGCACGAGTTTCACTCTCCACCATTCGCATATGATTCATTCATATCCATAAACTGATATCAAAATCTTAAAATCCCATTGAAATTTGACTGAGATATCGAGAGTCTATCCCCCTCTCTTCATATCAAATGCCATTTCCCATTCCCACTCCCAATCCATATATCAAACTCCATTACAGCCTGTGATCTAACAATGGCTTTTTGACAATGCACCAAGCATCTCGGTGTCATAAGAAATAGACAGAAACGGAGAAAATATGGTAGTAGCTAGATAAATCATTAAAGGAGTAGAAATAAAATCATGTTATCAATCGAAGGTTCATAAAAAAAAATCTCCTTTATTCCGTGCCGTGAACTTTGTACAGCCCGTTCATTCAGATAATCGAGAGAAGAATCATCCCGATTCCGAAGCTTTAGGAGAGTTTTTGGTCTAGCATCTTTTCATTCACCTGCCAAGTACACACATGTGATCTCTTGCAGCAACTGCACAGTAACGTGATGATCGTTGGCATGCTGTGTCTCACCTGAGGTTGTTCTTTGTGCACCAAGGGCTATCTTTTCTTTCTCATAAAATACGAAGAGAAGCCCGGCGAAAGGAACAACAGTAGAGAAGAAGGTTGAGCTCGTAATTAAACCAAGGCAGTTCCAAAGGAGGAAAAATCAGAAACTGAAACCAAGCACAAAGAAAGGAAAAATATCTTTCCAAGAGTGGAGAAAGGATATAGAATGTGTGGGTAAGTATATATTGACTGTTTTGTTCCTTTATGCATGCCTATATTCTTAAGTACAACCACAGAAAATTAACAATCTTTTCTTTTCTCTTCTAGATGACTCTCAGGGACATGATATTTATTGCTTGAGTTTCTATTCTCTTCAATAGATCAGTACAGTGTTGCTGTCAATATGAGTCATCAAACTTCGGAAACGGCCTACAAAGATCCAGATACATGTCCAAAACACGGCTACAACCTCCAATGGCGAACATGTCTACGATGTGATACCATTAAACTGTACAACCAGAACTCAATAGCAAGTCTTATAGATCTCGGCGGCAAATTCAGTCGGGAATTTAATCAGCAATATTCGGAAGCGACTGAGCCAGCGATGAAGAACTTCCCCGCGGAGGATCCTTATGACTCTGACTCATTTGACCGTCCCAGAAACTACTCTGAGCGATGTGCTTTGACTCCAGCGACGGCATGGGTGTTGCAAAAGAGAAATCATCAAAGCCCAGTAAAAGACGCAATCGTTTGTACGAAAACGCAAAGAACAAGTCTGGAACCACGGAAGGGGCTTTTGGGAATGACATAGAGTACCTTCCACTATCTGACGAAGTGCCTCGGGAGTCTCGAAGTGGATCATTTAGACGTTGAGGCACGAATGAAAACCGTAGAGCCCGCGATCGACATGTCAGTTTCGCAGGAAAGGCTCGATCAAGGCGTACTAATGTAGTAGATCTTGGTGTAGTCTGATATGGGGCTAGATTGAAGGATATTCGAAATGAAATACACAGTATTGACACATCCTTATCAGGTAATAATGATAAAAACTACAATATATAAGAATTCTTGGGCACGCTGTGGGAGATATTGCCAAGCGCATATGAAGTGTAGGCACAAGAATTCGATGCCACAGATCAAGTGATGAGCTCATCGATGTTTTTGAGGTGTTCTGATTTCGCGGTAAACTCCTGCTCCAATGCCAATAACTAGGAGTATGGCATTAAATATTGCCATCATATAAAATGGAGCACCCGTGGAAAGATTATCGAAAAGGTAACCACCAAGTTTTGTGAGTAGTAGAATCGCAGCACCTCCGGATAGAGAGTAAACACCGGCTATAGATCCTTTGAGATGGTTTCTTGAAGAGGTCTTGGGTAATGATGGAGGCGCTATGAGCGGTACTGTTTCACTTGTTATATCGCGTGAGTCTGTATTCTCATCGCTCCTCGCATCTTGGAGCTGAGACGATAAATTGTAGCCACCTTCATCACCAAGTACACCTCTTCCTAGTAAACCAAGGCTGCAGACAATCTGTTAAGATATTAAATTAGCTTAGCACGTAAATACATCGCGAGACGGAACGACTTGTATAGTCGATGATGGATTTGAAAATCCAGAAGAAAAATGCGTCGGGTAACTCACCGCCCCTATTTGACTGATTCCAATCAAGGCGACCATAACGAATACTATAGGACTTCCTCCTCTACCATTGATATCCTGTGGTTCAGGGCTAACAAGCCGAGCAAAACCTATGTATCCAATTACACCAAAAACGCTCGCTGTGAGAAGTGGTATATTGAAACGACGGTAACGGTCTGAGAGATAGCCAAATAGAGGAGCACAAAGCAGAGCGATCAATTGGGATGCTCCAGTCAACTCGGCGGCAAGAACATATGCTCTACGGCATTCCTTCTTGAGTTCAGGTGATGGATCATTTGGAGATCCATGACAGAATCCATGCCTAATGAAATATGAGTTGATATAAAGTGGGATAAAAAGTGATATGCCCACTGATGAGGCACGTGCGACGAATCCTCCTAAATAACCAAGGCCAATCTGTGCATCTTTAAATCCTAAAATTGTTGAATCTGATATTAGTGTCCAGTATGGCTGAAACTTCTGCGTGTCTTCTCGTCCTCCAAGATGTCCCACAGTGTCTCTGGCTATTGGTCTACCGAGAAGTAGGCGCCACCCTTTACCTTCTTCGCCCGCCAAGCCTCGGAGACCAATAAAACAGAAGCAAGAAACCATGAGTGATACAACTCCAACCACGTAGAAACTATCGGCCACCGCTTGGCCTTGGGATACCCCTTTCATCCGCGAGAATTGCGCTGGCAATGGCAAAAATGCAATCAGTGCCACAAGTGCCCCGCAACCTGTAAATAATCCAACTAAACCGGCCAAACGCGGGGGGCTTGATCCGGTTTGCTTCATGGATTTTGAGTGATCGCCAAGAGGGGTTCCACGCCGATCATTATAATTGGTAGGAGTTATGGTGATCTCGGAATCTATAGACTCAGTCGCAATGCTACGGCGGACGTTTTCCGGCAAGGCTGATCTCGAAATAGGGGAACTCTGCGAATCGTCGGTCTCTCGGGCAGACATTGAAGGTAGGATTGCGGTCACCATCGTCGCACTCCAATCTCGGTTAGTATGCGCGTATGATGTCGCTCGGAATGAACTCACGTAGCAGCTGCCCCCACTGAAAAGAATAATCTCGCAAGTAATAGTTGTGGGAAGACATTCTTTGCTTGCACGAATAAGATCAATGCAAGGCCAACAATGAGGTACCCTAGAACGCAAACCACCCGAACCCCGAGTCTATCACTAAGAATTCCCCACGCGGGACAAGCTAACAAAGCAACCAATTCATCCGCAAACCCCTAAGGAAGAGTAAGTATTTTCAATTTCTAAAGATGATTGACATTTAGGGTGTCGTACGAGAGTGCCCACCAGATCCCCCACGCCTTCCTTTACTCCAATGAGATCAGTGATAACGAATGACACGCTACTATTGAGAAAAACTAGAAAGGAGATGGAAAAAAGACACACGGCCAAAAGATAAGTCACTGCTTGCGCGTCTGTTGTCCTTGACGCAAACGGGAGATATCTAGATACCGACATTTTCCCCCGGAATCGTGTGTGTCCCGGATAGGTCGGAAATATTCAACGATGGCTGGCTATCATTACCTGACAATTAGAGAGGGAATTAGAGACCAGGTTTAGGATCCAGATGAGATGAAGTGCAGAAAGGTATCAAAGATAGGCGGATGAGTTGTATGAGATGTATGAATGAGCTGTATGAAGAAGAATATCCAAATTGGAAGGTGCAGTGCGTACCTAGGTTGGAGACCACCAAAATGCCCGCGTCATCATCATTCGTTGATGATATGATTCAATAATTACCTACTAGGTACCTGCAGGTCACCTTGCTGGCTTATGTAATGTGTATCAAAACACGCTAATCTATGAACCTCACATCAGACAAGCTTTTTAGTCTTTCATATGTGTAATCAATCATATAATATGCGGATATGTGAATGTGTATGCTTTTCATCCGGATCGCGGAATTGAATCACCACCAGTCTGAGTGCCGGCAGTTTCATTACCCTTACCTGACTCAACATTTAACCACTATACATGGTATTCTTTACCACACGGCACGGTGATACGATTGGGTGCCACGTACATATAAGGGGACTGAGCACTGGGCGCTGGGCACTGGGCGCTGGGCACTGGGAATTGATCATTAAGTAAGAATCATTGTAGCCTTCGGGGCTGAGATCCAAAAGTTCAATATAACGCTAATGAACGAACACATTTCTGCAGCCACTGTGGGCACATCCGCCACACTTCAGATATCTCAAAGGGGTGCATTCCCATGCAATCATATATCATCTCGAAGCAGATCAAGGCCTTAATCTTATGATCAAACCCCCTTCACCGTCCTTAGCCGAGTTCGAGAGCAAGAGTGGACCCTATTCTCTTACAAGCAAAACAGCAATTGATATGACAGTACTCAGACATCTGCCGAGGCTATTCACACATATTTTCCCGACTTCTGAACATACAATAATCTAGCCAATGGGTTCAGATTTGGACCCTTAACTCGATGTGGATAGTGTCTGATAATGATTCTCCAAGAAAGGAAAAGAAGCCGATGGCTATTCCAGGCCTCTACAAGTTCCCCACTATCCGGAAATTTTCTGGATCTACACCCGTACTCGGCAAGTCTATGTTCGGGATGCCGAAGTAATGCTTGCCGAAGCCGATGAAAGTCGGCAATAACTAAATGGCATGTTTTTCTGTCAATTGTGTATTGGATACGAGGCTACGAGGTATATCTCAAATCCCTATTCATGGAAGTAAGCCCAAGCCTTGCAATGGTGCCAGACGGCCGGAATGAACTCGAATGAGGGTCCGTCTCATTTTGGGTATCACACATGGAATGACATGGGGTTAAGTCAAGAATCATCAGTTCTTTCATCCACCCTTGTTCTGATCCTACGTATGCGTATTGCGTATGATCACCGAATGATTGCACATTCATTCCTACATATGCTGCAACGATGGATAAGTGGACGGCCCATAACATTATACGAAAATCACCGAGCTCCTGCAATAGAGTACGCATCATGCTTTCATTCTTTGGGACACCGCTCTCCTGCCTTGCTTCTCTTTTCTTCCACACTCTTTTCCATAATCTGTCATGCAGCTGCAGTGCTGCATAAATCATGGCCGCGTGATCCACGAGGTGTTGGGCCGCAAATCAGAAATTGCTATGTAGATAGCTAGTAAAGGAAGGAAGGACTTGGGCCCATCGTCGTGCAAATTGAAAAGGGTAAGGTGATAGGAGGGTTGCAGGCATGAGTTCATGGCAAGCAAGCATCAGAAAAGACTAGCAAATAAATCCTCTGTAAAAATATAGTGATTACTTCTTACCTGCAGTTCTTGTACCTTAATTTAACTGACGCAAATAGAGTTTGATTTGATTCGACGAGAAAAAAGGAAGAGAAATAAACACACCTATCAAATAATCAAGAAAGGAAAATGGCCAAGATGAAGTTATTGATATTATGATCGAATTTTTGGAAATCCAAATCAACCCAATTATTGTCTATGTTGCTAATGTTTTATCGATCTTAAACTTCTGGAAATATGATGTCTCTCGCATTCAATACTGCGTTTGTATTGTTATTTGTTTTATGATATTATCAGCTGATGAGAATGAGCACGAAAACGTTCCAACAAATGAAACCCGGTTGGCTACCGCTTTATGCAAAGATCTAGATATCACGGCTTCGTGCTCTTCTTGAATGAAATCCCCAAGGTCTCGCCTTGTATGAAAAGCGGATCAATCGAATTCTGTACTGCTGCCCAGTTGACGAGAACCTGGCTACAACTCGTACAATAGATATATTGTGTATTAAAACTGACGATTGAGATGTACAGTACGACCACAAGTATCTCTGTACCAGGTTTTCGCAAAATACAAATTAGCCGATTGTTACTACCGCACCGATGTGTACGATATAGCATTGAGTGGACAAGATTCACGAAATGGAACATCTCGGCAACGTACCTCAGTCACGTCTAAATCTTTTGAGATTTCGATGTATCGCATGGTTCCTGCACTCGATCTGAGTAGAGTGTATTACCTCATGAAGCATCATTTCACGGTCATTGGGGAGAAAAGGTTCCGAAAGAGTACAGGGAACTAGAGAGCCAGAGACCAAGAGACTAAAAGACTAATCCGTATAGATCCATTGCATCTTTATGTTTGGGGGCGTAAAAATCCCAATGATGGGATTTCATTCGTACTTGAGTAACCGCAAGGTAAGAAAGGTGATCAATCACATTCCACGATCTCTAGGCGTTTGTAACAATCCGCATAAGATGGCAGACAGACAGCCTCTCAAGACTGCAAATGATATGCCACTGGCTACATAC